GGTGTGACTATTGCACTTAACAATTAATAAACAGTACCGCTAACTTTATATTGGACAAAGGGACCACATTAATATGTTTTAGCATTGTAGACAGAAGGACGATAAACGGAGTTAATTGATGGTAGAAGGACGACATGAAGCCAATCCATAGTAGAAGGTTTATATTGCACTATTTTTGATAGTAGAGGGACGATAAATGGCATTAACCCTATAAAATATTATAGTTGTGTGTGGTGTTATCTTATTTTATCAGTTTATGATTAGTTAGAACATTAAATATATTAATTTATAATTTACTTTTAAATTATTTAAATCATTTTATCATAAATTTAAACCATAAATTATTTAAATAATTAATTTATAGTTAGTTAGAAGTAATTATTTATCAATAATTTTTTTAACTCATATTTTTAAGATATAGGTTAAGAGTTTTTTTTTTCATAAATGTATGTAAAAAAATAAAAATTGATATTAATTTAGTATTGTTATTAAATGAATGAATTTAATTAGTTGTTGAAAAATTAAAGATAAATTTTTATTTTTTCAACATAAAAAAATATATTTATTACATTCTTAAAATAAATTAAATAAATTATTTATTAATTATCAATCGATAATTATAATTATTAATTGTTTCTAACAATCAAAATAAATATAATTGTATTCTTATTGTGTGGTCTTAATAATGTTTTGTGTGACCATAAACCTAACTGTATATTAGTACTAAGATTTTTATTTAGTTAACATGTATTTTAATTATTCTTTAGAAATAAATGAAAGTATGTTTCGGTAGGTCTAGTTGGAGTTGTAGTGGTCTGCATTCGGCAAGTAGCTGCCTCCACTAAAGATTTCTTTTGTTTTCCTTTTAGGAAAAATAGTAAGAAAGTATTTCTTCCCTTCAATTTTATTTGTTTTATTTTTAAATTTGATACATTGTATTTAAAATTAGTTATTTATTTTTTATTTTAAAATATTATTTAATATATTTATTTTTATTTTAAAAAGATAATTATAATAAATATTATATCAATAAAAAAGTTTTTACGTAGTGATTAATTGGTAATAAATATGAAATTTTATAAATTACAAATTATTATATTTTTATTTGATTTGAAAAAATTGGTAATTAAAGTTGAATGGAGGGAATACTAAAAATTAAAAACAAAGTAGTATATGATAAATTAAGAAAAATTACTAAAAAAAATTAACGTTGTATGTATTCCGTTTTTAGTTTATTTTTATTAGAATTATAGTATTATTCTTGTTTTAAAATTAATTAGTATCAATTCAATTAATGAAATGTTAGAAACTACATTATTTTTGTCAAAAAAAATAATATAATTTTTTACGTAGTATATTTACATTATTATTAAAAATTTAACAATAAAATTTTCTAATGTTCTTTGATCATAAATTCTTAAATTTTCATATTTTTAAAATGAATATACTTTTGCATCATTTATATAATTTAATCTAAAAAATTAATAGTTAAATTTTTACAGTTTAACTTAAATCAAACTGCAAAAATGCATTCTCAAATACAAAATCAAAATTATAAAATCAAATAAATTAACATTACGCCGCGTAAAAACTAAGCAGAAAAAGGAGGGAAAAGGTCGATTGAGTCATTTGATAGCATTTATGACAGATCTACTACCCGACAAAGGAGAAGGTAGGCAAACTGTCGGCCGGCGAACCGGGGAAACATAACCGATGAATTTTTATTTTCTAAACCCCATTTCAAAATTCAAAATTAGTCTTTGAATTCCCCAAATAGTAAAAAAAAAATTAAACTTCAATCCCATCTTCCACAAAAAATAGTTAAGAAAAATCCAACACTATGCCCCTAGTTTTTATTTTATCATTTTAAAATTTTTTTAA